ATTTACAACTCAACACCAATTAAAGGAGAGGCACTCCTTCTCTAGGCTTATTTTGTAGTCCTATACATAATCTGACAAAGAGACCACCAGACACTTGTAGTGATAAACATCCTTTATACTTCAATCGTACATCTGTGCGTTTCCAAGAGAATCATGTATCCTGAGCTTAGGAGTAGTTGCCAGGTTTTTCAAACCTTCTCTGTTGGGTAAGCCCACTGAAAAGAGAGAAGGAGCAGAGATTTAGCTAAAAAATCATGCAGAAACAACAAGCGTTATAAATACTACCTTCTTTGTGTGTTGTTCCCTCATGATTTCTTTTGGGAAATGCTCGGTGGCTGGGTGGAGCCGACGCCATCGCCTCCGTCCCTCCGCGCCGCTGCCGCCTCGGTCCCTCCGTGAGCCGTAGCCGCCTCCGCAGCCGTCCCTCACCTGTCACCGCGGCGTCCGCGCCCGAGCCTAGGGCCGATCTGGCAGCCTCGGAGCGTCACTCCGCCTCGCGGTGCGCCACCGCTACCGAGACCATACCTTCGTGCGACTCCGCCGCCGTCCCTCGCCCCTCGTCGTTGCGACCGCACCCGAGCCTAGGGCCCGCCTGGCAGCCTCCGAGCGAGCCTCCATGTGCTGTTGATCGAGAAAACCGATCGGAGAAGTCAAGTAATCGTCCGGACCAGTGTGGGCAGCGGCTGGGCTTAGGTAGTTAGGGCACGTACAATGGGTCTCTCGACCCCGTCCCTTCGTCGCCGTTTTTACAAAAATCCCCATGTCGAAGCCCGGAGACGGAGCCAGCGTCGCCTCGCATGCGGCGCACGGAGCCGCCCGTGCTCGATCTTTGAGAAGACGACCCGAGCAGCGTTGCGATGCGATGCCGTCTTCCCGACTTCGACGGAGCGCAGATCCGGCGCTTTCGCATGGACGGGAGGAGCCGTCGCGCCAAAATATTCTTCAGCGACTGTGCTCGAGATGTCCGCGCAGAGGCACGTCATCGGCAGCAGCGGCGGCGGCGGCGGCAGTCCACACCGTCGGTCGCAAAAGCGGATTGGCGGCGGCCCGCTCGGCCGCTCCCTCGGTCGCGTAGCGGCTTCGCGTTGGGGGCGGATGCGGACGACCTCCAACTGTTGCCGCACAGAGGATTGGAGGATCCCTGCAGTGGGCATTGGTGGCGACGGCACCGCGTTCCCCGCTCCGGCATGCTCTCTGACCACGCCGTCTCGGTCCCGGGCGCGGCAGCCAAGCTATCTCTGACCACGCCGTCGTGATACATGTATTTGTATTCTGAGTTGCGGCAGTTTCCTGACAGTATAGTGATCTACTTTATTTCTCTGAGTTGCCATCTACTTGCTGAAACTGAGTCTTGTCTATAGATTTTTTTTTTCAGTTATCATCTATTATGGAAGCAGGGGGACGTTATCAACATAATGCAAGCTTGTGTTATCCTTCACAATATGATAGTGGAAGATGAGAATGATTCGATTAGAGAAGTCTTGGATTTGAATGAGAATCCAAGTGCGACGACAGTGCTCCCACCTGAAGTGCGTACAAGTGACAACCCTAATCCTACCTTCGCAGAGGTACTTCGTAGAAATTCCACTATCAAAGCTCGGCCAACACATAGGAAACTCAAGAAAGATCTAATCGAGCACATATGGCAACGCTATGGAAAAAAAGGAAATTAGATAAAAGACGCTGCATCTATATGAAATATAATTATTATATTGATGGTTTTTAAAAATATTGTAATCATGTTGCTCTTATTTATCCTTGATACATTTTCTATCAAATAGCCACATAATGGTATACAAAAATTTATTTATAGTTGATCCTAACTACATGCAAAGCATTAAACAGTTTAGAGACCGACCCCCTGTCTGTGGGTTGTATGACCTGTCTTTATACATGTCTGTATGATAGATTCAAGGCGCTTAGAGACGAACACATGTATGTGGATTGTACATGCCCTTAGGTTGGACATGGGTAGGGCCCATCCAGATCCAAGACGAATTTAATTTATAATTAATCGCCATGATGCTTTAAGATCCGTGTAATATTTTAAAAGAAGACCACCCGAGCAAAACTTATTATATTATATTCATAGCTCTTATAAGAAATATTATAATTATTTTCATCTTATTTATACATGATCCTTTTGTATCAGTAATCAAGATGCAACAAAATGATGTACAAAGATCGTTTCTTTCCTGATCATGGTTGTGTGCATGTATTAAATAACTTATAGACAGGCAAATAGACAGTCCATTCTGTCTGGGTATGTATTTCAAAACTTGCAGACAACCTCATGTCTGTGGGTTGTACATGTCCTTAGAGCTAGTAGCTTGCTCTAACAATTGCGAGTGCCCTAAATAATTGTCGCTTTCGGTTTCCGTGCAGTAAATTTGACCGGATTTATAGAAAATACGTACAACATTTGTATTTTCAAATAAATTTATTATAAAAATAGATTCAACGATCTATCTAATTATATTAATTTGTACCATAAATATTATTAATTTTATATATATTTAATTAAAGTTGTTTCTCGAAAAACAAAAACGATAGTTATTTAGGGACCGATAGAATACGAGCCATTCAAAAAATAGTACAAGCCCAGCATGGGCCAAAGCAAAAACGTCGGTCGGCAAAGTGCTGTGGCGCCACGGTCTCACACTCCGGAGACGGGAAGCAGGAACTGAAGGCACGGGGGGACGGGAGCTGAAGCTTGATGGCGAGCTGGCGTGAGACACGCGGGTGGAGGGACGATGAGTTGCGTTGCGTGCGATCCGAAGCTTTGGTTGTAACCTGAACGCGAACGAAGAAACAACAGTGCTGATGAAGACCACGCTGAATTGCTGACAGGCTGAGACCTGGGTCCCGTACACACCGAGTGACCCAGTCCACGCTCACCCATGTGCGTGCGAGTTGCTTGCGACTGATGGAGGTGGCAACCGGCAGGCATGGTTGGTTCCCGATCGCCCAACCAGACCACTGCTGGTGGGCCGTGGGCGGTGGCTGGTGCTGGCCTGCTGGGCCACCACGCGGACGCGGGCCCGCCGCCTCCTGTCCCTTTTGCTGCTCCCGCTGCCGGAGCAGTGCAATGACCGCGGCCGTACGTCGTCTAGTGTTGTGTTCTGCCTCGTGGTCTGGATGATGCCTGCGACAGGACAGGCGACAGCAGATGTCTGTGCCGCTCGGTCCAATCGCTCGTGATCACGCCCTTGCTCAACCGTCAACCAGGGTGTTGGTGTTTGTGTTGTGCTTGTGCCACCTCTCAACCAGTATTATTATTCTTTGTGATCCATCTGCGAATCTAGCGAAATACTCCGTAGGTTAGGACTTGGGAGAGGCTTGTTCCATTATCTTTCATCTCGAGCCTCCTCTTTGAAGTTTTCATGGGTACTAAATAGTAGGAGAGGCTTAGGAGAGACTTCATGCTTCAAATAGCGGTAGCAAGGGCTTGAGCCACTACTAGAGAACAGATTTTAGAACGATATCCCAATTTAGCATTAGTTTCGGTATTTTTTTCCCCGGGACTAAAGGTTTCTTTAGTCCCGGTTGGTAATACCAACCGGGACTAAAGGTTCCTTTACTCCCGGTTGGAACCACCAACCGGGACTAAAAGTCCTCCAACCTTTAGTCCCGGTTGGTGATACCAACCGGGACTAAAGGGTCCTTTAGTCCCAACACCAACCCGGACTAAAGGATTTTAGTGGGTTGGTAACACCAACCAAAGACTTCTAAGGATTTTTAGTCCCGGTTGGTAACACCAACCGGGACTAAAGGTCCCCCAATGGGTTAGTTCAAAAGGAAAGCATCCCATCCATTGTTAGATGTGTTGTGTAGGTGGGGTGGTAAGCTCGCGCGAGGCAGTGCATGAGGTCTTGGGTTCGAATCTCATAGGGCGCAGTGGTGGGAGGCATTATTTTTTTTTAAGCTGGGAGGATCTTTAGTCCCGGTTGTGACAAACCGGGACTAAAGAACACCACCTTTAGTCTCGAAACGTTAGTCTCGGTTGGAAAACCGGGACTAAAACCAGTTCCTAACCGGGACTAGATGTCAGTTCTGTAGTAGTGAGCCCTACCTCTGTCCTGGTGCTAGATCCTCCCGTGTCGTGAATTCAATTCTCACCAGGTCAAATATGATAGCTACACTCCAAGTAAATAAATAAATAAAATAAAAAGGAAAGTGCTAAAGATCACATGCTGGAAACAGCTTTTCCTTGCGGCGATCATTTCTAGCTGTCTGATCTAGATCCTAGCACCGATGGAATCGTCTTCAACCTCCGTCTCCCGTCACTACAAGATGATGGCCATGGCTATTCGATTGTAATGTTGGAAACTTTTGAATGGTGTTGGATCACACACGCAAACACGTGTGCACGCTCCTTGTCTCGTCCTTCTGTACCTAGGTCCACCCGTTAGGCGCACAAAAAGCATTACTCAATTGGATTTTCAACACATCCAAAAAGAGAAATGTTAGGTGGCTGTGAATCTTTTGGGTAAGAGATCTTCCGAATCATTCGCTCTTTAGTATGGATAGATCAAATGGCTTCAACTTGGCACTCAGATCTGGTGCAACAAACCCCTCTCTCCTATGTGACTCAAGGCGTCTGTGAGACTGTGACTCAAGCAGCTCCCAAGTCCTAGGAAAAACCTTTCGGGAAAAAAGTCCCAGGAAAAAGAATTCCACGGCCCAGGTACCAACGGAAGAAGATTTATGAATGTAGCCAGCCCACGCTTAGGCCCAGCCCAATATTCAACACGAACACCAGGCAGGCCGGCCTCAAATAAAAAAAGGAAGAACCCGTAGAATTAACAGGAAAAGAAAAACTCCGTCTCGCTTCTCGCTGCTGCGTGCCTGCGGGGACACTCCATCTCTCCTCCACGATCCCGCCTCCCACACCTCTCGCCGAGTCGCCGGCCGAGGACGATCCGCCGGCAGCAGAGCGAGCGCCGCGCGGGCCTCAGATCGCCTGTTTGGTTCCTTGGAGCCGAAAAGCGGGGGGCGGCATGAAGCCCCCGGCCGGCGGCAGCGGCAAGGGCGGCGCGGTGGATCCCTCTCTGCCGCGGTTCAGGTGCCAGGAGTGCCGCAGCGCCCTCGTCGTCGTCGGGGTCGAATCCTACGCCGACAGGCTGCCCGCACATGCCGCGCCCGGTAACCTTGCCTCCCCCGCCTTCCTCCCGTCTTCCCCTTTGTTTTACCTATGTACTCCCTCCCTCCCAAATTCCAATCGTTGAGGAGTAAACAATTTTAAGTTTGACTAATAAATCCATAAAAGATGTACTAGCACTTATGATACAAAATAAGTATCATTAGATTAATCATGGAATATATTTTCATAGTAAACCTAGGAGTATTTAGTGGAGGCATAAATGTTGATGTATTTCTTATGAACTTAGTCAAACTTGAGAAAATTTGACTTGGTTTAAATTTAGAATTGCCTTCTCTTTGGGACAGAGGGAGTACTACTATAACCATTGTATTCCATCAGTTTGAGCCACTTTTCTCGGCCAAGTTTCTTTTGCACACTTAGATTAGGCAAAATATTCTTCTCATGGCACTTAGATTATGCACATCTATAGTGTTACAGCTGGAAAATTTTGCTTGTCGATCATGTTGCCAGAGCTTCCAAATTATTAATTCCATTGATGCTAGAAGCTGGAGTTGCTTCATGCTTCTAGTTGCCGATCGGGTTCCACAATTAAGTTGTTCTATTTGCATTTGTAGTGCTGGGATCAAGATTAGCATGTGGCTATTTACCTTGCTTCCTTCGATCGTTTTATTTTTTGTGTCACACAAGCACTATGGACTGAGCCTCTCCGAGATGCAAGTTTGTGGTACTGGTGTCACTTATTTAGTATGTCATTCAATGCATGCAGGTAATCATGCATCTTCTGTTCAGGGCAGTGTTATGGGTGCAAGCAAGATGGACAATTCTTATGTTGTGCTATCCAGGCAGAACAAATCTCAGGGTCCTAGAATTCCCCCACGCCCACCAAGTGCAGCAGCGGCACATACTGATCCCAGCCAACCAACAAGAGCGATAGAGGGGTCATATATAGTGCTTCCACCTCCTGCCGCTTCCATATACAAGACACCTGCCTCTGAAGGAGGTGGTGCGCAGCTCACAGCACCAGGTGTAAACTCCAGTAGCCCCTCGCAGGGAAACAATTCCGGGTTTCACTCTAGTGTTACTGTGCTGAAAAGGGCTTTTGAGATTGCTAGCTCGCAAACTCAGGTACGACTGATTGCTGACTATGTGCATATACTAGTTGTGTGAACATGCATGGATTTTCTACTGCTGTCTTTAATGTTTCCTCTTCTATTTTCAGTGCCTTAGCAGTTATTGCATCAAATATGCATGTTTTTTTTCATTCCAAGTGTAGAGTACATTATAGTGATACATATAGTGACGACAATGTGTTTCTGCTTTTCTAATTGCGTGTGCAGGTTGAACAGCCACTTTGTCTGGAATGTATGAGGGTTCTTTCTGATAAGATGGATAAGGAGATTGAAGATGTTAATGCTGATATTAAATCTTATGAGGCCTGTCTGCAACGTTTGGAGCAGGAACCCTACAACATACTCAGTGAAGCAGATTTTCAAAAGGACAAACAAAAGGTGACCGTTCCTTTTGAAATATGTGTGGCTTGACGACTGAGTAGTTATTGAGGTTAGAAGATGCAAAAATTACTGTTTAATGCTACGCTTAATGCAGGCCTCCCACCACATATAAGTAGTGATCCCTTTCACTATGAAACTGTTATATCAAGCTGCACTATATGAATACTTATATTGTGGTTTAAACATATATTAGTGCTCAAGCATCTTTAAGAAATATTGTGAAATAATCAAGCATAAACTGTCAACTGTAAATGCAACTCAATATGGCACGTAATTTGTAGATTACAGGAACAAGTGCATATTATTGACTTTGTTGCAAAAGATACAAGAAATACTTATTGGTCTGTGTAAACCTGTTACATTTTATTTATTTGTGTGTTCTGCAAATTCAGATTGAGGAAGAGGAAAAGAAACTTAAAGCTGCTATTGAAGAAGCTGAAAAGCAATATTCAGAAGTTAGTTCTGAGATGAAAGATCTTGAAATAAAGTCTAAACAATTTGAGGAATTGGAAGAGCGGTTAGTATCTTTTCTCCTTGCCATTATTGTTTCAGGCATCTTCCTGTTATAGTTGTGCTGTTTGTTTTTACGCAAAAAAAAAAAGTTGTGCTGTTTGTCATTCGTATCATTTTTATGCACTTGGAGTTTCTGGGGAATACTGTCACAGAATCACGGTTTATGTACAATGTTATACAAAGTTTTAACAACATCTGCACCTTTTGTTTGGCTCCTGCTATTTATAATTCTTGAAATACCTTTCATGCAAAACTAATGTTACCATTTTTTTTTAATTAGGTACTGGCATGAATTCAACAGTTTTCAGTTTCAGTTGACATCTCACCAGGTAAATTTACTTCAGGCCAGCCTATGAATACCTAACTGTCAGAATAGCAATGCACCAACTTATTGTTGTCATACTTTGAACTTGTGTACTTGCTGCCTCCATAACTTGTATATATTTTCAAACAGATGTGTATTTTGTTCCATATCAGTTCCAGGCTAATAACTAAAGCAATATTAACCGGGTCTGTGGTTGATTTTGTATTTATTTCTCATCAAAAAGTTGCTGACAGAAAGCTAATAAAGTTTATGCAACTTGCAAGTTGTCTGTGTTGTTGTTTTAAAAACTGCCTTGATGTTTGGATATGGTATCACAAATTTTAGTTACTTATCTCTGTGCGATATTTTCTTATGCTTGAATAGTTTGCCACCATTTTCTGTGATATTCATTTTGTTATATGAAAAAACATCACGCTTTTCAGGAAGAAAGAGATGCAGTTTTTGCCAAGATAGAAGTTTCCCAGGTTCATTTGGAACTGTTGAAGCGTACTAATGTTCTCAATGATGCATTCTATATTTCACATGATGGAGTAATTGGAACAATAAATAACTTCCGCCTCGGACGCCTTTCCAATGTAGAGGTAATTATACAGATTGCAAAATGCATAGACACAACTTTGGTCACTATGCTCAGTGCTTCTGAAAATAATGTACAGGTTGAGTGGGATGAGATAAATGCTGCTTGGGGTCAGGCTGCACTGCTGTTGCATACCATGGCTCAGTATTTCACCCCAAAATTCCAGTATCCTTTTGTTTTCTCTCTGCAGCTATAGTGTTCATTCTAAGTGCATAGTGTTACTTGCAATTTAACTTCTTGAAGTGCATGATTTGTGAATTTTAATAGTAAGCAAAAGAGAATTTATTCTTAAAAGAAGTGTTGCAATGGAGTTCCTGAACATTTTCCTAGATACCGAATCAAGATTCACCCTATGGGAAGCTATCCAAGAGTCACAGACATCCACAATAATACATATGAACTGTAAGCTTTCTGCTGGCAAATTTACTTTTTTTTCTCTTCAAGATGGTCTATAATTTAGTAGTCCTCACTTTCTTAGGTTTATAATAATTCTATTTCGTTTGCAAACCTTCTTGCCTTAGCACTCTATCAGGCAGTGCAAATTAATCATGCTTGAGATGTTAATAAGGCGCGTTGTTGATGTTCAGGTTTGGTCCCGTGAATTTGTTTTGGAGCACCCGATTTGACAAAGCCATGACATGGTTTCTGACTTGCCTGCAAGAGTTTGCTGAGTTTGCCATAAGTTTGGATAAGGAGAACAATGTTCCACCTGAAAAATCACTGAAGCTTCCCTACAAGTAAGACTTTTTGCAAATCTATTGAGGTCTCATAATCGTCATGTTTATGTGGCCTGACTAGTCTTGTCATTCATGCCATAGTTATTGAGACTGAACTGGGCATTGCACTGGGGAGGTTCGCTGTTCATGGTTTGTTGGACTGTCAGACCACCGGCTCAAAGTAGTTAAATATTGTAACCTTTCTCTTTTCCCCCCTCGAACTACGCAGGACGGCAGGAGAGCTGCGTGTCATTTCATGCAGAAGAATAAAAGATACAGAAGGGAGGGAAGTAAGAAACCCCCTTCAATACAACATTCTAGAAAATAAACTAGGGAAACACAACCAACAGCCTCAAACAACCAAGGACCTAGGAATCCAGGACCAACGACCTAATATTGTATACCTTTCATGCCTTTCGCAAGTGAAACCGTAGCACAGTGGTATGTGAGAAAGCCTCCTAGCCGTAGGTCTTGTTAGCAAATGCCATGGGACACATTTTTTGTTGCCCACATGTGGCTCAGAAGCTGTTTTTTCTTCCGTTTTTTTTCCCTCAATGCCAGACAGTTCGACTGTTTTGGAGCGGGTAATAGCAGGCTGATTGCTTAAGCAGACCAGGCCAGACCCTGCAGAGGCTCTGGATCCTGTTTTTTCTGATGAAACCTTGTTCATTCTGGTTTTAGTAGCTATGATTCAGACCTAGTGTTCATGTTTATGCTTGTGACCTAGTGTTCATTTGCAACCACCACAACAACAACAACATAGCCTTTCAGTCCCGAGCAAGTTGGGGTAGGCTAGAGTTGAAACCCACCAAAAGCCCCAAGTCACGGTTCAGTCACTTCAATAGCTGCTTTCCAAGTACTCCTATTCAAACATAGATCTCTAGATATATCTCAAGCTTTCAAATCTCTTTTTATTGCCTCCCTCCATGTCAATTTCGGTCTTCCTCTACCTCTCCTCATATTATTAGCTTGGCTTAAGACTCCACAATGCACTGGTGCCTCTGGAGATCTCCTTTGGACATGGCCAAACCACCTCAACCGATGTTGGACAAGCTTTTCTTCAATTGGTGCTACCTCTAGGCGATCACGTATATCATCGTTCTAAACTCGGTCCATTCTTGTGTGACCACAAATCCATCGCAACATACGCATTTCTGCAACACTCAGTTGTTGAACATGTCGAATCTTTGTAGGCCAACATTCTGTTCTATACAACATAGCCGGTCTAATTGCCGTTCTATAGAACTTGCCTTTTAGCTTTTGTGGTACCCTCTTGTCACAGAGAATGTCAGAAGCTTGTCGCCACTTGATCCACCCGGCTTTGATTCTATGGCTAACGTCCGCATCAATATCTCCATCCCTCTGTAGCATCGATCCCAGATACCGAAAGGTATCCTTCTTAGGCACTACTTGACCTTCCAAACTCACATCTCCCTCCTCCTGTACAACTCCGCCAAAGTTGCATTTCATGTATTCGGTTTTAGTTCTGCTCAATCTAAAACCTATAGACTAAAGGGTCTACCGCCATAACTCTAGTTTTTTATTTACTCCTGCCTGGCTTTTGTCCACTAACACTACATCATCAGCGAACAACATACACCAAGGGATATCTCCTTGTATGTTCCTGGTAACCTCACCCATTACCAAGGCAAAGAGATACGGGCTTAAGGCTGACCCTTGATGAAGTCTAATTTTAATTGGGAAGTAATCTGTGTTACCATCGTTTGTTCGAACACTAGTCACAACATTGTTGTACATGTCCTTGATGAGGGTCACGTACTTTAATGGGACTTTATATTTGTCCAAAGACCACCACGTAACATTTCTTGGTTTCTTGTCATAAGCCTTCTCCAAGTCAATGAAAACCAAGTGGAGGTCCTTCTGATCTCTAAACCGCTCCATAACCTGTCTTATTAAGATTGCTTCTGTGGTTGACCTTTCGGGCATGAAACCAAATTGGTTTGTTGATATTTGCGTCGTTCCTCGTAGGCGTTGCTCGATGACTCTCTCCCATAACTTCATAGTGTGGCTCATCAACTTAATTCTCCGATAATTAGTACAACTTTGGATATCTCCCTTGTTCTTATAGATTGGTATCAATATGCTTCTTCTCCACTCCTCAGGCATCTTGTTCGATCGAAAGATATTGTTGAATATCTTGGTTAGCCATACTATAGCTATATCCCGAGACATCTCCATGAATATTTGAACTACGAACATTCCACCTGGGGTAAAATTTGTTAAGTTCGTCAGGTTTAGTTGCAAGCACCGTTTTCTTAAGATAAGAAAATTGTTTTTGTGGCTTTGAACCTTTCTTTCATTGGTTACTGTGGTACTCCCTACGTTTCAAATTATAAGTCACTTTGATGTTTTTTGGTACATCCATTTTGCTATGTATCTAGATATAATAATATGTGTAGATACATAGCAAAATGGATGAACCAAAAAAGTCAAAGCGACTTATAATTTGGAACGGAGCGAGTTATTGTTGTTGTCGAGTACATGCAAGAGCTCTGCTATGGTAATGGTAGATAGTAAATTGGAAAGTTTCTTGCGTATTGATGCATTCCATGTTACCTGCATTGTTGTTAATTAAGATCACTTCATTTCACAGGATTGATGGTGACAAAGTAGGGAGCCACACGATCGTCCTAAGTTTCAATAAGAATGAAAACTGGACCAAGGCGCTGAAGTACATGCTGTGCAATCTGAAGTGGGTTCTCTACTGGTTTATTGGCAACACAAGTTTTGCACCACCCTCGGGATCACTGCACACACAATCTCTGAAGAACAAGGGTTGATGCTGTTTTTTCTCTCTAACTGTACATAGTTTATATCCTTGACCCTAGCCACTGGATGTAGCCGTAGTGACAATAACGACACATTTGATGTACATGTGTTTATTGCTTGAAGCCTGCCATGCTGTCTTGAGGTCCTCGTGCTGTCGTGCATGTGTTTATTGTACTATATCTAAAGCCCAGCAACTCCATTTTCGCCCTCAGGCGTAACTTAGTTTGTTAGGGTCCTCATGGCAGAACTTGTTCACCTAAAGGTGTTCATGGAGGCAGGATACGTGTGCATGTTTGTGAGTGTCTCTGTATGTATGTGATTCGCAAAAAAATTGACATTGTTACCATTCATTTATATTAAGTCAAAGATATGTTCATTTATACGTGAGTGGCAAAAAAAAATTGATAGTTTGATATTGAAATTCATCACATACGCATTCTGCACATGCAAATAATTTTTTACCCACTAAATGAACTTTGAAATTACGAATAGAAAAGTTCAGGGTGCTTCCTTGTAAGGAAGATTTTGTTAAAAAAAAGTCGTGTAAGCAATGTTTTTCTGGTCCACACAGCTTAGCAGGATGGAAGGCTGAGTTGATGGGATCAGAAGAGGAGCCGGCCCATACAATTCAGCCAGTGCCACTACACTGATGACGGCAGAAGTTGACATAGCTCTACTTCCTCAATTTTTATTTGCGTATAAAAAATATCAACTGGGGGGTATCTCCCGCTATCCATGTCACATGTGGTGCTTCTTTGTTGATCTGTGCTGAGGCTCGGCCAGGTGCCTGTTTTACGTGTACACTTCGATGCCATCCAGGTTCTGCATCTGATAGTTGAACACAAGCTACAATATCCGATTCTTGTGATCTCACATGACCAGCCTGCGAGTCTCACCAAAGAAGTACGAGACCCTCTCTCTCCCTACATGTGACCCTTACCTAGAATCCGTTCACAGCATTTCCTGAGATCAACAGCATGGCAGAACTTCGATCAAAATAAACATAAAGAAACAACACACCAAACGTTCCATGCTACGGTACTAGGATATCTTCACAGTTTAAGACAGATCATCAAAATACATGATGTTCTTGGCTGTTCTGTACAAATGACACTTCTGTAAACCTGGGGGTACCGATAAGAAGAAAAAAAGCTCCCTAATTTCTAAATCTAAGAAATCGGGTAAGACTATCAACCTGTTCGCAACCTGTTCGCTTGTTGGTTTCCGCCAGGACTTATCAGCCAGTCAACAGTGTTTTCCTCTCACAACAAACCAGCAACAGCCGGGCTTATCAGCCCAGAAACCAACCAGCGAACAGGCCATATGGCTAAGAGAAGATCTGGACAAAAATGAAGCCATGGTACAAAATTTCTGTGGAGTTTCAAAGAGGTGAGCAAGAATGTACAGAGTTTAGGATTTACTGTGGACCTTGAAGCCAATCATGATTCTAAGGCCACCTCCTACTGGGTATGTACACTCATGCATGCTAATCATCTCGAACAATCTCGCCCATCATGATCCGGTTACTGTGGACCTTGAAGCCAAGAAGAGAAGGGTCAATCTGCTTTCCTTTCTTCGCTTTCTTCTTTGCGCCCTTACCACCTGGGCCACCGTCAGCAGATTCGGAGGCATCATATTGCAACGGAGGCTTCCTCGAGCTCTTCAGCGCTTCGCTGAAGGACTGACCAGAGGCATCTGGATTGGTGGTGGCTGATGGCATGCTATACACCCCTGCCTCTTTGTTGCTAGGTACACAGCCTTCCATACCCTGGGCTACTGATGCGACTCCTGATTCCATCTTATTCTCTGCACAGTAAGATCATCAAAATTAAACGTCTGATATAAAAAAAAGGGCGTACCCAGTGCAGAGAGCTCCCGCTCTGTGCGGGGTCTAGGGAAGGGTGTTAGTGGCAAACCTTACCCTCGCTGCGCAATGCGAGGAGACCACGACTCGAACCCGGGACCTTCCGGTCACAGGCGGTAAGACTCTATCGCTTGCACCAGGCCCGATATAAAGCAGAGATAAAATTTCATAGATAAATAGCAATGGTAACAAAAAACATACTCCGGGTTGCCTATTATTGTGCAACAGGTTGCGCACTAACATTGTGCTCGTTCAAACTATCACAGGACATACCCCATCCAGTTTGTGGTCTAGAGAGTTTTATTTTAGCAATTGACAGCTTTGTTTTAAGTGAAGCAAATTCAGCTGACTTTTAGTATTCAACCTCAAAGTAATATTAACCATATCAAAATTCAACAATCCAGAAATTTTGAAAAAACATACCATCAGAGGACGCAAGGCCTGCTTTCTTCAGCCTGATTGCTGAAGACAGATCTGCGGGAACTGACTGAGATGTAGTATGTTGGTTTGTAGAGCGCTTTAGTGAGGAGTGAGAGCTTCCTTTTGACATGCCAGAATCAGACCTGCACATCTATATATTATCAATACAATATAACACCAACTTTGCACTCACCTAAGTGGGCATTCAAGAAAATTAACTTGTGCATGTAAAACAATACAATGAACACTATAGAAAAACTAGTTAGAATCATATACATGTATGCGTTAGTAACAAATATTATGTAGTCAAAACTCTCGTCCAGAAACAAGACTTTGCATTAAGGTATGCTTATCAGCGAAGCGAAGTCTCACAAGAATCAAAGTACATATTAGAATTATCCAGTGGTCGAATATGAGAAGATCAGAATAAACTGAGTAACATGCCAAAAAGAATTATTAGAATGGTAATTTGGTGGGATGGGGGAGACAAGTGAATATCCTTTTGAGAAAGATAGTAGATAATGGAGCAGCACATCTACAAGTTTAGAATAATACCATTTACTAACAGCTTCTTCAGCAAAATCAGTATCATCCCCAGCCAAGCTCGCACTAGAACCTTGCTTTTTAACCCTCGTTAACTCATTGACACTCCCAACCAGTTGATTGGCTGATGTTCTACCACCCGTGGTGTCTGGAAAGTCCCTTTGAACATCATCAATTCCAAGAAAATGCTTCTGCTCAAGCATTGATCCAGATCCTGATCTAATGTTAAATTTTCCAGTGTTCTCAATACTGTTGGGCAAAGCACCCAGATTAGCTGATCCCTCTTGCGCCAACTGCCCTGACTTTGCATAAAGTGACCTTTCTGCAAGAGACTCCTCAAACGACAACATGTCCACTGATCTTAGAGGGTTCTCTGCAACAGGTTGCGCAAAGTGATCCTTACGCCCAAATGATGCTGGAACAGGAACATCAGGGAAACCCAGGGACTGCTGCGATTGAAGGACAAGTTTCTTATGAATCATATCACTCAAATCTTGTTCTGCATTCCTCTCTTTGTTCATAAGAGCTGCCCATGCATGTGGGTTGTCAACAGCAAGGTTCATTTCCACATTCCTCCTCTGCTTCTCCGCTTCAATCTGCAACTGGTTGATGCGTGAAGATTCCATTAGACTGTTTTGCAACTGTCCATTGGCATCCGACCAGTGCCTTTCAAGCCTTCCTATGTGAGAACCAGGAAGCTGTTCCTGAAGCCTATGTTGCTGAGGATGAACCCCTGAAGGAAGCATAGGCATTTGGCCTAAAGGGTATATATCACCATGTGTTTCCAACTGACCAAGTCCATGATGGCGTGCTAGGGCATTTATGACATCTGGGTTTGGTCCAGGACCACCACCAGGCAAAGAACCAGACCGCTCTAGGGAGTGAATACCTTGACCTCCCCTATGCAAACGTTCATGTAAGGATAAGCTGCGGTCAAGATGTTCATGATGATCAAACGATGACGATCTCTGAAGATTCTCCAGGAGATCGAAATGACCATGTTTCTGATTTGGACTGGTCCCTGAGCGGATAAACTGAGCAGGATCGTCCATTGGCCAGACCCCACTTAAGTGCCTTTCTTCCTCCCTGCCTGAATGTTGCCGCAGAGCATTTGCCAATTGTTGAGACTGAAGTTGCTGCTCGTGCTGAAGGCCTAAAAGAATTTGCTGCTCTAAAGGAAGCATCTGTCTCTGATTTGGTCGTGAGAGAACATCCAACATATCATTATGATGCTCCCTATGAAGGCCATGACCAAATTTTGCTTGAATGAGTTGTTCAATAGCCGCATCATGCTGCCTTTGCAAATGGTGAGGTTGCTGGTGCAGTTCATTTAATACATGTTCACGAAGTAAGACTTGATCAACCATATTTGTTGGTCCAAAATTTGAACCCTGCAGCTGCTGCTGCAACAATTGCTCGAGGATCATCTGTTGCTGTTGCTGCTGCTGCTGCTGCTGTTGCTGTTGCTGCTGTTGCTGCAAGAGCTGGGCTTGCCGTTGCTGCTGTAGCTGCCGTTGGTGCTGCTCTTGTTGGAGCTGGCGGCGTTGCTGCTGTTGCTCAATTTCAAACTGGACTCTCAAAAGATGCTCCACATCAGAAAGCGGTTGATTCATAGGCTGGCGGTGTTGGTGCAAAGAATCAAACACCTGCCCGGGAAATGCACCAGAAAATTCCAAATTGTTGCGGGCCATCAATTGCTCCTGCTGCAATTGCTGTTGCTCCCGTCTGATCTGTTGAAGCAGCATTTGCCCCTCAAAATTCAAATGATGCTCAGCTTCAACCTGAGGGATTCTGCCGGAAATGTTTGCATCATTCATATTGTCCAGCCGTCCAAAGTTTGCAGGCCACTCATCACGCACACTAGAAACTTCATTCATCCTGCTAAGTGGTCCGTGTCTCATGTTTACAGATGGAATGTCCTTGGGTGTTGTAGGCTTGGGATTTCTCCGCTCATTGACACCAAGTACGTTTGATGAGAGAGGTTGTTTTGGATGCCCTTCCAGCTCAGACCAAAGTAAGCCAAGAGGACTCAGATCACTCTCCCTTGGGATATCATGCTGCGGCAAATTAGCTTCTCCAACCACAGAATGAGGATCATGTGGTGCCAACTGGAAATCTGCACGATCATTCTCGAGGTCCCGTAGGGATTGACCCATGCTGCTATTAGGCCTCCCAGTGTACAACACTTCTGTCATAAACATGAAAAAAAAACTGAACATTACCTCAGCAAAAACATAAATATGGCAAATGAGTTTCCAAGCAAAAGAACTAACCTTCAGCATCCTGATTCACTGATTCAGGAATGTGCTGCTGGCGATTACTAGTATTTGCTATATCCTTTCCCGTTTCCGGCGAAGATAACCAACCACTACGAGAAGGTACTGATGCTTCATGATCACCTCTTTTAGGATCAACAGCATTGCTTTCAGAATTCCAATTAGACACTTGGTCACTCTTCGCTGAGGAAACAGTAGGAACTGTGGATTCAAATTTACTTTGAGATGATTCCAGAGATTCAGCACTTCCATCACTGGGTTGAGGTATATGCGATTGCAGTTTTTTCCCAAGGTGGGGCATGACTTCGACAAGTGGGCGGAAAGGAACATCATCTGGAGCCTGAGACAGACGTACAGGTAACTCCAAACCAAAGTATCCATCTTCATACCAGGAAATTATGTCAGCACCCAGAAATGGACCCTGCACACCTCCTTGGGGATCCAGATAATATAATGTCAACTCTTCAGGATAATTAGCATGGCCACCCACTTTTATATCCATGTCACTGCTTTGGTATTGCATAGGGGGTTCTGAAGGATGCTCAAAGGATGGTACATCAAACAGAGTGTTTGAATCATCAGGTAGCTTAGTGCCAAGATCATGATCAGCACTTGACTTGATTTCATCAGTATTCAAACCTTCCCTAATGTCGGTAATCCCATATTGATTGCTGCTGGCATTTTCCTCCAGACTTTTCTTTGGCGGAGATGTACTGATGCCAGTAGGAAGTGTCCCTTCAACATAGAAGGCGTCCTTCTCTGAAATTAAATCTGAAGACACTTTTTGACCCAACCCAGCAATTGCAAAACTGACTTTGTCCTTGTCATCGTCAATACCAGAAGCTGGTTCTGAAACAATTATAACATTTAGACTCTACCCAATGGATAAGAAGCCATGGATAGACAGTAACATTTGCATTTTTAGATCTATAAAAAGCATGGCACAACTAACATCCCACAGTGTAGATATACCTTCGAGATCTTTTGCCCTCTCTTTTTTGTTTCCAGTCCCATTGATTCCTTCACTGCTAATGACTTTACCCTTTCTAATATCTTCCAGGAGAGCCTGAAAAGTAGGCAAGCAGGTAAATAAACAGAAAAAAGAGACAGAAGAGGTTAAAAATAGTAGGAAGAATATAACTAGGTATTACCTCTTCAACTTTATCCGGTGCAACAAAGGCTAGGGGTTTTGCAGCAGTAGAGAGTGTGATGGAAGGAATTTCCTCCAGTTTCATGTCAGCATCATCAAAGGATGACATCATATTTTTCTGCCTGTATATATCAAGAAGCTTCCCTCTTGGGTAGCGGAAACCAACAGCAGCTTTTGCAGACTTCCCATGCACAGATGGAGCACCGATTGATCCTGCAGATGATGGCCGGTTGAAGGATGCAACTGAGTTTGGGTTTCCCCTGCCTCTTCCAGCAGCAAAACCAATATCTGAGTCCTTAACACGCCCTTTCTCGGATCCAAAGCCTGGAGCAGCACGGTACGTTGCTGTTCCGACAGAATGACTTTCCTGCCGGTGACGAGGCCTCCATTTATCACGGGAATCTGACTCAGACAGCAGCCTTCCAGTGAATGTCTGTTTATCAGCATGGGTTTCATCCTTCTCTGCATCAACCTTCTTGTCTGACCTGGAGTCCTTCTCCTTGTCATCAGGTCCCCATCTTGATGACCATTTTCTATCACGGCGTCCCTCATTCCCCAAGCTTCGGGTGGAACCATCATTCCACCTTTCAGATGCAGGAGCTGCACGCGGATCAGTGTTGTCCCTTGCAGAAACATTGTCAGAACGGCGATCAGTCTTGCGATTATCAACGTCCCGGTCCACATCCTTCTTGCGCTCCCTCCTCCCAAGCAGGCTCGTCTCCCTCTCCTCTTCAAGCCAGCGAAGACCACTGTCAGCATCAAATACATTCCTCCTTCGTTCTTTCCTATCAACAGTACCTTCCAACATCCTCACTTCCTTTTCAGCAGGTTCAAGGGAGGACCCATGAGGCAGCGAGATCTGCAGATGACCATCCAGCATCGTTAGCGATCAATTCTACCGGCAGTCAATCAACATCATGGTACAGTAAAAACAAACACCGAGAGAAGGGCAGTGATCACAAACCTTTCCATCAGCAGGTTTGGCGTAGAGCCACTGAGGAGACAGGGGAATGCTGTTATCCAGGTGCAGCTGATCTGCGTAGCACAGGGTCAACGTTCAGCAAAACATGGTCGTATCATCCACACGACAGGCTACTGACGCATAAGCTCACACTCCTATGCACACAGACCGAGGAGAGCAACCGCACACGAACACATGCACCCACGCGAACACGAGCTAGTAGCCCCCCACCCGAACCCTAGACACTTATACATGGCGCCCGCTACAGAAATTCCTCAACTGCTAAGCAGGCAGTCCGAAATGAATCAGGGAGGAATAAGAGGCAAGTGGTTTCGGGTGAAGAAATCCGCACCTTTGGAGTCGTCGACGAACCCCATGGCGGCGGCGGCGGCCCTGTCCTCCTCGATCCCAAGCGACAGCCCACCTGCGCGACGCAACAACCAGACGTCAAATCGGGGGCACCCACCAATCAACCACAGATCTGCGCCGAGGCCAATCCAGGGCAGCGGGCGGCGGCGGCAGATCGGATCTCCCGCGGGTGGGGGCGCGCAGATCGGGCGGCTCACCTTTGCCGAGCGCCGAGGGTCGATCCAGCTTCCTCTCCGCCATCGCGGCCTCGCGGGATCCGATGGAGCGAGCGGGGGAGTGAGCTAGGGTTTCCGGTGGAGGGCGGGCAGAGAGAGAGGAGAGGCAGCGGCTTCCGCGGCGCGATCCGAGCGAACGGGGCGAGGCGGCGGAGGGGGAGGGGAACCAGAGCTAGGGTTTTGCGAGCGAGGGAGGGCGTCGAGGGCACCGGCGATGCGAGGAGCAGGAGAGGGAGAGGGAGGGTGGGTGGTTGGGCTGGGGCTGGGGCTGGGGCTGGGAGCTCTGGTGTGTTTTTCTGGGATGCTTTTTTTTTTTAGACTTTTTATGTGTGTTATTATGAAAGATGCTCCATTTCTGTATGTCATAAAAATTTCACACGAATAATGGTGTCATAACGCTAAACTCTTTTGTTCAACACGTTATTCCATTCAGTTTTACTCCTAACGGTGGGTAATGGTGTAGGCAAATGATTTATATGCCCTTAGGTTTGAGAGGCTCTGTGAACTAGTTGGTTTGCTTCTGTGCTATTTCTATGGCCAGCCCTAGGCCGAGCGTTTTGACGCCAAAGTCGGGGTTGTTGGTGCCAACTGAGCCTCTGGACTTCTCCTCCTATATATAGGTCATCAGCCCTATCTATTGCCACTCATCCAATTTGAGCTCTATCTCCTTCGCCTCTCTCCTACCATAGCCATATCTCAAGCTTCTAGCAGCTATGGTGGTAGGTTAAGCGGGTGATTTGTCTCAACTGTCATATGCTTGCCAATCGGTTCATCTCGATGACCAGGAAGAACAACAACCGTGCCTTTCACAAGTGCACCTATTTTATAGTTTGTGTTTCCTTCTCTGCTTATTTTTTCCTTTGTTTTTTTTTGTTGTTTAGTGACAATATGTTGATGCTTTGGGTTTTAGATTGAAGGTTGTCAGTATTATCAGTGGGAGGATGAAATGAAGGATACTGAAGTGTAGACACCTACAGCCTCTGCTCCACTACAGGCAGTTCCCCTACAGGCAGTGACACCACCTGGTGGTTTCCCTACTGCAGCTCCTCTGGCCATCATCCAGGAAGGTTCTCAGGCTGCTGGAGTTGCACAAGTGGAGAATATGATTGACAATAGGGTTCTACAGCAGTTTAGGTAGATTGAGAAGATGGTCTATGTTTGCATATTTCTTGCTTTGTATGCTATTTTGAAGAAGTAGGTGCCTATGTGTGTGTGAAGTAGTCATGGATGAATAGATGGATGGATGGATGGATGAATGAATTAATCAATGTTGAATGATGAATATGAAGATTGTTCATTTGTCCAAAATGCAACAACACATGAGAACAATATAACAATAATTAGAGTACTGCAACAATAAACAAACATTCATCACATAACAGCAGCTACCTTATTTTTTTTATCACAAAGGTTTCATGACACCAACATGTCACCATATTCATCATATAGTAGCTAAGTTATTGATTTTCATCTACAGCTAAGTATTATCATACCATCACAGAACATTCATCATAGAGCAAAAGAATAGTCATGCCATCACATAGCAGGTGTTCTTCCAGAATCACATCACCAAAAGAACATTGAGCATGCACCTTTCACTACAGCTGGAGCTTCTTCTTGCTTCTGGTACTTGAAGCAGGGTTGGATGGGCTGGCTGCTGCAACTTGGAGCTTCTTTGGTGTAAGCTTATTCTTGATCCCTATCTTCCTCCTTGGTGAAGCCTGGGGTAGCACATAGTCTCTAGTGGCTCTGTCTCTATTATAATGGAGTCTTCATGGAAAGAGACCAGGTGCATAGTTTGGATTGGAACTAGGCCATTGGAACCAGTGGCGGATCTAGAAAATACATTTAGGGGTGGGAACTCATCTTCAACTCGAAACTCATCTTCAACCTCCGTGGGGAGCACTCCAGCATCTTCTTCCTCTTGTTAATGGCTGAAAAAATCATGGGGGCTAAGGGGGCTCCAATGGCGTGGCCAAGGTAGGGGGGCTTGAGCCCCGAGTAGACCCTGGCAGATCCACCCCTTATTGGAACCAGTTCCAGACCTTGTGGCAAAAAGGCAGAGTGTGCTTTAGCATTAGCAGTCATAATAGAAGTGTTGTGATCAATTGAAGAGCTAGTAAACATACCTGTTAGACACACTGTTTGGACCTGAGCTTGAAGTAGTAGTGGTAGCTACCCCCTTACTCTTCTTGGCACCAGAAGAAGAAGAAGAAAAAGATTTGCTCTTCCTTTTTTTTGTGTAGCATTGACCACTGCCTGATTATGTGGGAACACCATCTGGGATAGAGTAGCAACCATAATGCTAGTCTTTGTGTTACAGCTTGCTGTTTTTTAGCCTTTTCTTTGGAAGACCCCTGCATAGGAAAAGTTCCATTAGTTAACTAAGTTATTGAAGCTGTACATGTATCTACAAAGTAATTTAGTTACATAGTTTATCTTTCAGCCTCCATTGCAGCTATATCTTCTGGATTCCCATTCTTGCAAGTGTACCAGTGATGCCCTAACTCATGATAGATGGGGCACTCATGTTTCTTTGCCCTCTTCTTACTGCTGTCTCCCTCAAGTGTCGATTTTATCCTATTCTTCCTTCTACCTCCTGTTGAAAGGTCCTAATGGCTAGAGGGGGTGAATAGCCTATTAAAAAATTCTACAACAACACTTAACAAACCGATTAGACAATTATGAGGCGAAGCAAGTGTTACACTAGCCTACTAAAATTGCAAGCCACCTACCACAATTCTAGTTTATATAGTTTATATCCATACAATAGTTATGTCACTACACTAAGTTGGTGTGCTCTCAAAGGCTAACTAAAGAGCCACACTAACCAAACTAACAAGCTCTCACAACTAACTACACTAAAGAACTTGACAACTAGTTTGCGGTAATATAAAGAGAGTGAGCAAGATGGTTATACCGCCGAGTCGAGAAGTGAACCAATCAATCACAAGAATGAATATCAATGAAGACCAATCACCTCGGAATCAAATGGTGACACAATGATTTTTTACCGAGGTTCACTTGCTTGCCGACAAGCTAGTCCTCGTTGTGGTGATTCACTCACTTGGAGGTTCACGCGCTAATTGGCATCACACGCCAAACCCACAATAGGGTGCCGCACAACCAACACAAGATAAGGATCACACAAGCCACGAGCAATTTACTCAAGTACCTTTTGACTCTCCGCCGGGGAAAGGTCAAGAACCCCTCACAATCACCACGATCGGAGCTAGAGACAATCACCAACCTCCGCCCGACGATCCTCGCTGCACCAAGCCGTCTAGGTGGCGGCAACCACCAAGAGTAACAAGCGAATCCCGTAACGAAACACGAACACCAAGTGCCTCTAGATGTAAACACTCAAGCAATACACTTGGATTCACTCCCAATCTCACAAAGATGTTGAATCTATGATGGAGATGAGCGGGAGGGCTTTGGCTAAGCTCACAAGGTTGCTATGTCAATGCAAATGGCTAAGAGAGTGAGCTAGAGCCGGCCATAAGGCTTAAATAGAAGTCCCCACGAATTAGAGCCGTTGTACCCCTTCACTGGGCACAACTCGGAGTGACCGAATGCTCTGGTCAGATCGACCAGACGCACCCTGCCAACGTCCAGTCAACGGATGGCTGCCACGTAATCTCACTCTTCAAATACTGAGTGCCTGATCCCAACGGTCAAGTGATGACCGGACACAGCACAGTGCCACGATCGGACGTAGGACCCCAGCGTTCGGTCACTTCTAGTAAGGTTCCAGCTGCGACCGGATGTGTCAGTTTGATCATGACCGGACGCAGGACCCCAGCATCCGGTCATTTCCAGTAAACCTCCACTCACGACCGGACGCGTCTGGTCATGCCCGATCGGACTCACCCAACGTCTGGTCACTCATTGTCTCCTCTATGCACTGCCACGTCAGCAGGACCGGACACACCCACTCAGTGTCCGGTCACGAAGTGACTCAGCGTCCGGTCGAAGACCGACGCCAGCATCTCCACTGCTTCTACTGATCGAACGCGCTGGTCCAGTTGAGGCCAGCGTTTGGTCCATTCTATGAGACCCTGTCTTTTCAGTATAGGGCACCGGTGGCACCGTCGAACTGTCCGTACTCTACGGGCGGACACTCCGCTGGTGAAGTTTCTAACCCTTGCTGAAATATGCCAACCACCAAGTGTATCATATTGTGCATATGCGTTAGCATATTTTCACAAACATTTTCAAAGGTGTTAGCACTCCACTAGATCATAAATGCTTATGCAATGAATTAGAGCATCTAGTGGCACTTTTATAACCGCATTTCGATATGAGTTTCACCTCTCTTAATAGTACGGCTACCAAATCTAAATATGATCACACTCGCTGTCTTGATCACAAAAACAAAATGGATCCTACCACTTATACCTTTGCCTTAAGCCTTTTGTTTTTCTCTTTTTTCTTTTCAAGTCCAAGCACTTGATCATCACCATGGCATCCACCATCATCATGTCATGATCTTCATTTGCTTCACCATTTAAAATGTGCTACCTATCTCATGATCACTTGATGAACTAGGTTAGCACTTAGGGTTTCATCAATTCACCAAAACCAAACTAGAGCTTTCACCTATGGACCTAAGATAGGGAGGGTGCATGAAAAAGCCATGAGTAGCTTTGGGACACATGCTTTTGTCAGGAATATAAGGGATGGAACCTTCATATGCAGCTCTGATTTTGTTGACAGAGAAGTAATCATCCACATGGTCTTCCAGCTTCCAGTTTTTCACCAAGAATTGAAGTAATGTAGGCTATTGCATGCTTGCATGGGATTTCTGACCCCTGCCAAACCCTGCAGGAACAGGTTCTGTCAGGTAGGCTGACCACAAACCTGAAGCCACTACCTCCCTTAGCACACAGTTCTACCACACCATCAGGGGAGGCTGTGATCACTTCAATGTCTAGGTTGTAACTGTCTTCCCTTAGCTTCTGCAAGATGTGAGGCAGAATCTTTCCTTCCAACTTCTTGGCTACCTTCTTCGTATGGTTCCAT